AGACTATAGACTAGACTATAGACTAGACTATAGACTAGACTAGACTAGACTATAGACTAGACTATAGACTAGACAATAGACTAGACTATAGACTAGACTATAGACTAGACTATAGACTAGACTATAGACTAGACTATAGACTAGACTATAGACTAGACTATAGACTAGACTATAGACTAGACTATAGACTAGACTATAGACTAGACTGTAGACTAGACTATAGACTAGACTATGGACTAGACTATAGACTAGACTATCAGACTAGACTATAGACTAGACTATAGACTAGACTATAGACTAGACTATAGACTAGACTATAGACTAGACTATAGACTAGACTATAGACTAGACTATAGACTAGACTATAGACTAGACTTAGACTAGACTATAGACTAGACTATAGACTAGGCTTTAGACTAGACTATAGACTAGACTATAGACTAGACTATAGACTAGACTATAGACTAGACTATAGACTAGACTATAGACTAGACTATAGACTAGACTATAGACTAGACTATAGACTGGACTATAGACTAGACTATAGACTAGATAAGACTAGACTATAGACTAGACTATAGACTAGACTATAGACTAGACTATAGACTAGACTATAGACTAGACTATAGACTAGACTATAGACTAGACTATAGACTAGACTATAGACTAGACTATAGACTAGACTATAGACTAGACTATAGACTAGGCTTTAGACTAGACTATAGACTAGACTAGACTAGACTATAGACTAGACTATAGACTAGACTATAGACTAGACTATAGACTAGACTATAGACTAGACTATAGACTAGACTATAGACTAGACTATAGACTGGACTATAGACTAGACTATAGACTGGACTATAGACTAGACTATAGACTAGACTATAGACTAGACTATAGACTAGACTATAGACTAGACTATAGACTAGACTATAGACTAGACTATAGACTAGACTATAGACTAGACTATAGACTAGACTATAGACTAGACTATAGACTAGACTATAGACTAGACTATAGACTAGACTATAGACTAGACTATAGACTAGACTATAGACTAGATATAGACTGAGACTATAGACTAGACTAGACTAGACTATAGACTAGGACTATAGACTAGACTATAGACTGACTATAGACTAGACTATAGACTAGACTATAGACTAGACTATAGACTAGACTATAGACTAGACTATAGACTAGACATAGACTAGATATAGACTAGACTATAGACTAGACTATAGACTAGACTATAGCTAGACTATAGACAGCTATAGACTAGACTATAGACTAGACTATAGACTAGACTATAGACTAGACTATAGAACTAGACTATAGACTGCTATAGACTAGACTATAGACTAGACTATAGACTAGACTATAGACTAGACTATAGACTAGACTATAGACTAGACTATAGACTAGACTATAGACTAGACTATAGACTAGACTATAGACTAGACTATAGACTAGACTATAAGACTAGACTAATAGACTAGACTATAGACTAGACTATAGACTAGACTATAGACTAGACTATAGACTAGACTATAGACTAGACTATAGACTAGACTATAGACTAGACTATAGACTAGACTATAGACTAGACTATAGACTAAGACCTGCTAGACTATAGACTAGACTTAGACTAGACTATAGACTAGACTATAGACTAGACTATAGACTAGACTATAGACTAGACTATAGACTAGACTATAGACTAGACTATAGACTAGACTATAGACTAGACTATAGACTAGACTATAGACTAGACTATAGACTAGACTATAGACTAGGACTATAGACTAGACTAGACTAGACTAGTCTATAGATTAGACTATAGACTAGACTATAGACTAGACTATAAACTAGACTATAGACTAGACTATAAACTAGACTATAAACTAGACTATAACTAGACTATAACAGACTATAAGCTAGACTATAGACTAGACTATAGACTACACTATAGATTGGATTATAGGCTATACTATAGACTAGATTATAGGCTATACTATAGACTTTTTTTCTGTTAAGGCACTTCGCCCAAGGTAAGCAACTTGCTTGCGTACTAAAGCTAGTGCATATATTTTTTTTTTTCTAACAACTTTAAGGAGATTGCTAGACTGTTTCTTCTTCTAATATCTGTTTAGTTATGAAATCCCCCCAATATACACTCGTACTAAACTAGTGCATATTTTTTTTTCTAACAACTTTGAAGAGATTGCTAGACTGTTTTTTTTCTTCAATTTATTTATTTAGTTATTTTTATAAAATTTTTCAGATCAATCTATACTCCTTAAAACCAGGTTTGGCATTTAATAGTAAAATATATATAGAGAAAAAAGTATCCATAGACCAAATACATATAAATAATATTGAAATTTAAATCTCGTGCTGTCTAGTAGTTGGTCGTTTGTGTTTTTTACAGTTTTTGGTAGGTGAATTTAATTTTTATCACGTCGCGACGTCCTCTCAATTCAATAGTATATAGTTACTTAGTCATATAAAAAAATTATATTTCGATTTTTGGTTAAATATCTTTTTTTTTGTTGTTCTTGCTGCATGATATTTTTTCAATTCACATAATTCATCTGAAACTGACCACTTAGACGTTGGACTGCCTGACAGTTTCCATTCTTTAACGATGTTTATTAATGCTATTTTTTTTTTTGTTGCTTTTATTTAGTTTATTTAGTTGCACGAGTACTAAAGACATTTTATTTCATGCGTGCAAAATTTGTCAATTGTAATTTTCATCTCTAATTTTAAGAAAATATTCGGAAAAAAAAAAATCGAAAAACCAATCGAAGACGTTTTAGAGATTTAGAATTTTTGGAAAAGAGTGTTAAGATATTCTTATGCCAGTTAATATGGACTAATTGGTAAGTATCAACTAAACTAACTAACTACTAACTAACTACTAACTAACTAACTAACTAACTAACTAACTAACTAACTCCTACTAACTAACTCTACTACTAACTAACTAACTAACTAACTAACTAACTAACTAACTAACTAACTAACTAACTAACTAACTACTAACTACTAACTAACTAACTACTAACTACTAACTAACTACTAACTACTAACTAACTACTAACTAACTAACTAACTAACTACTAACTAACTAACTAACTAACTAACTACTAACTAACTAACTAACTAACTAACTAACTAACTAACTACTAAACTAACTAACTAACTAACTAACTAACCTACTACTAACTAACTAACTAACTAACTAACTAACTACCTACTAACTAACTAACTAACTAACTAACTACTAACTACTACTAACTAACTAACTAACTACTAACTACTAACTAACTACTAACTAACTAACTAACTAACTAACTAACTAACTAACTAACTAACTAACTAACTAACTAACTACTAACTAACTACTAACTAACTAACTAACTAACTACTAACTAACTAACTAACTAACTACACTAACTAACTAACTAACTAACTAACTAACTAACTAACTACTACTAACTAACTAACTAACTAACTAACTACTAACTACTACTAACTAACTAACTACTAACTAACTAACTACTAACTAACTAACTAACTAACTACTAACTAACTAACTAACTAACTAACTAACTAACTACTAACTACTACTAACTAACTAAACTAACTACTAACTAACTAACTAACTACTAACTAACTAACTAACTAACTAACTAACTAACTAACTAACTAACTAACTAACTACTAACTAACTACTAACTAACTAAACTAACTAACTAACTACTAACTAACTAACTAACTACTAACTAACTAACTAACTAACTAACTAACTAACTAACTAACTAACTACTAACTAACTAACTAACTAACTAACTAACTAACTAACTAACTAACTAACTAACTAACTAACTAACTAACTAACTAACTACTAACTACTAACTAACTAACTAACTAACTAACTAACTAACTAACTAACTAACACTAACTAACTAACTAACTACTAACTAACTAACTACTAAACTAACTAACTACTAACTAACTAACTAACTAACTAACTACTAACTAACTAACTAACTAACTACTACTAACTAACTACTAACTAACTAACTAACTAACTACTAACTAACTAACTAACTAACTAACTAACTAACTAACTAACTAACTACTAACTAACTAACTACTACTAACTAACTAACTAACTACTAACTAACTAACTAACTAACTAACTAACTAACTAACTACTAACTAACTAACTAACTAACTAACTAACTAACTAACTAACTACTAACTAACTAACTAACTACTAACTACTACTAACTAACTAACTAACTAACTAACTAACTAACTAACTAACTACTAACTAACTAACTAACTAACTAACTACTAACTAACTAACTAACTAACTAACTAACTAACTAACTAACTAACTAACAACTAGCTAACTAACTAACTAACTAACTAACTAAATAGTTACAATCTTTTAAACTGATACTTTATTCAATTTCAGCCTTTTTAGGGAAACGCGTTCATTAAAAACTTTTTACCGACGGTAAATTATTTTTTTAAAAATTTCCCAATTTTTTTTTTTGTTTTATATCCCAAAATAATAAAGTATCTTTTTTGTTTAATATATAATTCGATTATCTTTTTATTTACTTTTTTTTGAATATTAATTTATAATAGTTAAGAATTTGTAGTTGTTTTAAATGGTGAAAAAATTGATCCAAAAAATTAATAAAAATTATATATATAAAAATAATAGTTACAAAAAAAGACCTAAAATTAATTAATAGTGATCTTATGCAAAAATTCGTATAGTTATTAATTTAATTAAAACTAAACAATTTATAAGAAACAATCTTAAACTAATAAATGATAAATCATATCATAAATAAATACATATTTAATTATTGTTTTTTTAATTAATTAATTATTTTTTTTTTTTTGTATTTCATAAGTGACTATAAAATATTACTAGGTAAATTTAGAATACTTATAACAATGGTGGTTTAACTATATGTTTAATATTTGAAAAAAAAATCTTGTTTTTTTTTTGTAGTAAATATTAACTGTACATTTTACAAAGAGAAAGAGAGAGAGAAAGGTAGCAAAAAGTAAACAATGAAAGTTTTTGTTTGTTCAAAATTTTTTGAGTTAGCATTTGTTTTTGGGGGGGAGTTTAAATATAAATTTATTAATCATCCTCTAAGATTTCATTAGCCTCTGAAACTTTATGCTGTTCATTAGTTAAATCAGCCGATGAGGGCCTAGAAACCGATAGTTCATTATCATTATCGCTGGCATTGTAGTCGGTATCATTTTCAGCATTGCCTATACTAGAGGGCGTGTATAAATCCTCATTGTAGGTAACACGATCCATAAAATTGCGTATTTCATCAAAATATGAATCTTCACGATCGGCCTCATTCGAACTGGGTGAATCGCTGATGGCTAAACCTAAGCCTGTGGTATCCGATTCATGTTTCTTTAGATGTCTATCCAAATTAGTTTGTTGGCCAAAGCAACGATCACATAAATGACATCTAAAGGGTCTTTCTTTATTGTGTATATTGCGTACATGTCTTTGTAGATTAGAGGAAATGCTGAAAGCACGATCACAATATTTACAGGTATAGGGTTGTTCACCGGTATGGGTTCTTAAGTGCCGTGTTAAGTTGGCAGATCGGGGAAAAACTTTGCCACAGAACTTGCAAGTATAACGATCTTTTAATTTACCCGATTGGGCCACTTGTAGAGCACCCGCCGACAGCCCTCTCAAGGCCTTATGAAACATGGGTTCGGCTACAAATTGCTCTTCTCTAGCGCGTAATGCATTGGCCTCGAGAGACGGCCGTTCGCCCATTAGTCCTAAAAAAGGGAACGGACGTGGAAAGGTGGATTCCAATGCATGTGTGCGATAGATTTCATCCAGCAGCATGGGATGTATGGGCCGGGGGCAAGTGGGCAGAGAGGCTGAAGTATTTTCATGTGTTGCCGCAGTACTGCTGACATTGCAGGGTGGTGAGGGTGAAGGTGTGGGTCCTGGTGAGGCTGTTGGTGTACGACTGCTGTTAACCGAGGAATTAAAAATTCTGGGTTTTTTTTGCCGTCTGCTCATAACTGTCAGCATTGCTTAGTTCCTCATGGGCAATGGGACTGATTTCTCTTATATTTATACTAGAGTTGTTATCATTATCACCACGTGTAGACTTCTGTTCCGCCGATTGTTGACTAAAATTTGAGTCAATACTGCTTCTTTTGCGTGAAACACTCAAATCCAAAGGCAGTTCTGTATAGGAGCTTTTAGCTTCCGGCTCATGATGCGGAGAAACCGAAACAATATCAATGGATTTCTAAAAAGGAAAATAAATAATTAATTTTTGTTGTCTGTTTGAGTCCTCCTAGTGATGAACTTACCTTATCATCATCATTTATCTTCAAACCAGCCTCTTCCTCATCTTCTTTTTTCAATTTCAGCTCAGTTTCTTTTTTCGCTTCATGTTTAATAGTTCTTTCCTTGGCCTCCAGAGACTCCTCATCGGAGGTATAACGCTGTGAGTCATTTCTCTGGTGATTTCTTATAAAATTGTCAGCAGAGGTTCTTTCACGTTTAACTTTTTGTTCCATTTCTTGCTTAATTTTCTGCTGTTCCATTTCGAATTTGTTAAAGTATAAACCAAATGCTTCCTGATTAGCTGTTGCCGGCAAATCCTCTTTGGGAGAATTAAGCGGCAAGGGGTGGACTTTATGATTATTGTTATTGTGATTGAGTGTATTAACCGAAGATTGGGATCTAATTTGTTGCAGTTTAAAGTCTACCGTTGGTTTGGAGAACATGGGTGAAAAACTGGAGGTTTGAGTGGCAGCGGGCGCCTGAGGAAACATACCCTGTAGACCAAAGGCAGCAGCGGCTGGAGGAAAAGCCGGAAAGAAGGTAGAACGCCAGAATAAAAAGGGATTCGGTGGTGTAGTCATATTGTTGGGTAAAGCACCGTTTACACCACCAGCTGATCTAGTTTGTGTGGGCGTCTGTGACTGAGCTTGATGATGCAAAGAATGCTGTAAACTGGGAGGTAAACCTACTCCCGCCGGTGGTACGTTGGTAGAATCACAAAATCGTTTATGTTTCGACAAAGAAGTAACGGTGCTAAAACTTTGACCACACTTGCTACACTTTATCTGCATGCGACAATCGGCATGCATGCGCCTGTGTCGGCACAAATTCGAGAACTGTGTATAGGCTTTAAAACACACCTCACACTGAAAGGGTTTAACGGAGGAGTGTATGTGCGTGTGCTGCTTAAGACCTGATGAGGTAGCAAATGTTTTACCGCACTCAGGGCAAGCGTGACTTCTGGCTCCAATGTGGTGGTTACGAATATGTCGCTGTAAATTCGATGGATCACAAAATACCTGCAAATGGTCAGAAAGAAGAGATTTTTATTAACAATTTGATTGATGTGTATAGTTTGTTGCTTTCTATTGTCTATTAAAGGCTTAAAGTTTAAAGCCAAGTTATTTCGTATACAATAATAACAGGCCTAGCTACTGTACAAGACAATGACAAGCCTTAAAATGAAGAGTTAACAAAAAACCTTTTTTTTTTTATTATTCCAACGCTGCGAGTGTAAAAAATCTCATTTGAGGACAAATAATTAAATTACCCCAAAAAAAACCCTCTTTTTTTTGAAACGCTTACGCACAGCTCGCTTAGTACATAAAAACGATAACGAAAACTATAATTAATCAATCATACCAGCGATGTTTATTGAATGAATTTAATACACAAAAAAAGTGAACATATCGAACTCATACCCACAACTAATGTAATGCTATAGTTCGCTCATACATTCAAAATTAAACTTTATTGTTTAATTTCTATATAAAAAAAAATATATAAAAATAATTCGTAGAAGAAGCAAACAAACAAAAAATCGATTTGAATACCAGCTCACTTTAAAGCAGATTAGACCGAAGAATATCCCAGCAGCTAAACAACCAATCAAGCAAACAGCTAGCAACCAGTCAGCTAAACGCTGAAACACCTACTCTTAACTTTAGCTATGATGGCCATCAATTGTAACAATTGTCGTTTGATAAAAATAAAGATTGGAGAGCCTTATAACCCGCCTTTACATTCACCCAACAGTTTGCTTACAAAAATCTCAATTGTTGGTTGGTTGCTTGCTTATTTAGGGTATTTTCTATTCGTTTTTAACCTATTCACTCTTACTTAAAGCCTTTTTATACCCTACACCACTTTAGAGGGGAGGGTATATTGGATTTGTGCTGATGTTTGTAACATACAAAAATATTCGTCCTAGACCCACCTTAAAGTATACCAATCGCTTAGAATCGTTTTCTGAGTCGATTAAGCTATGTCCGTCCGTCCGTCTGGCTGGCTGGCTGGCTGTCCATGTAAACTTTGTGCGCAAGGTACAGGTCGCAATATTCAAGATAATTGGATGAAATTCGGCACGCACGTTTTATTTGACCTAAGGACGAAGCCTATTGAAAATGGTTAAAATCGGTCAATTATTTCACCTAGCCCCCATAGAACAGGACCCCCGAAAAGGGGTTCTGAGCTCATAATTATGTTAAATATACATATATACCGATAAAATACGGCACAACTAAGTTTTATAGAAGTCTTGATGACCCTGCCAAATTTCATAAAGATCGGGCCACATTTGACCCTAGCACCCATACAAAGTCCCCTTCAGAAAATTACTTGAATGTCCCAAATTAACTTATAAACACAAATATCGCGATGAAATTCAGCACAATAAAATATTATGTAAATATAAATATATTCACAAAATTTTATCGGGCTTGGTCCATATTTGCCCCTAGCCCCCATATAAAGCCTCTTTCAGAAAATTAGTTTGTCATCCGTAAATTGCTTAAATGTATCGGAACAAGGGAATATTGAAGATAAATGCTTTATTATGAAAAGTAAATCACATAAAATATTCATAACTGGTGTAGGGTATCATATGGTCGGCCACGCCCGACTATACTTTCTTACTTGTTTTTTCTTCTATTTCTCCACTTTTATTTTTCGTTTATTTGTTTGCCTAATCATGCTGTCATAATGTTCAAGATTTTCAAAAATTTTCTATACATATTTTTCTGCTTGAGCATTTAAATTTTACATTTTTATAACCACAACAAAAAAAAAAACTTTAACAACAAAAAAAAAAACTCTATTAAAAACTTTACAATTATTGTTTAGCTCGTGCTGTTTGACTACTATTACCAAAAGAAAAAAAATATTATAAGCAAATCTGAAAAAATCAAAGGAGTAGACTTTGGTCTTGTGAGGGGGTGTTTGCCGCTTTTTGCTTGTCAGCTTAATGTTGTTGCTTTTTTTCTACAAACTGCTCTGCTCTGCTCTTGATGGGCACAATGTTGATGACATTGTTTAGATTTTGAAGGTTGTAGGAGAGATTCTTGGTTATTTAAGAATTACTTAACTATTACTTAGAAAGGCAGCTTTAAACTATGGCCAAGACCCCCAAAGGGGAGGTATGGAAACCACTTTCATTACATATCAAATTTCATAATACATAACTTATAACTTTTGCTTTCAGTTCAGCTCTAGTTCAGTTGTTCTTCAGTTGTAGTTCAGTTGTAGCTCATTTGTAGTTCAGTTGCAGCTCACTTTTACTTAAGTTGTAGTTCAATTCTAGTTCAGTTCTAGGTTCAGTTTTATTCAGTTCTAGTTTAGTTCTTGTTCCGTTCTAGTTAAGTTTTTGTATTTCAGTTTTAGTTCTTTTCTAGGTAAGTTCTAGTTCAGTTCTAGTTTAGATCTAATTCAGTTGTAGTTCAGTTTTAATTCAGTTGTAGTTCAGTTCTAGTTTAGTTGTAGTTCAGTTGTAGTTCAGTTCTAGTTCAGTTCTAGTTCTGTTTTAATTCAGTTCTAGTTTAGTTGAAGTTCAGTTCTAGTTCAGTTCTAGCTCAGTTCTAGTTCAGTTCTAGTTCAGTTCTAGTTCAGTTCTAGCTCAGTTCTAGTTCAGTTCTAGTTCAGTTCTAGTTCAGTTCTAGTTCAGTTCTAGTTCAGTTCTAGTTCAGTTCTAGTTCAGTTCTAGTTCAGTTCTAGTTCAGTTCTAGTTCAGTTCTAGTTCAGTTCTAGTTCAGTTCTAGTTCAGTTCTAGTTCAGTTCTAGTTCAGTTCTAGTTCAGTTCTAGTTCAGTTCTAGTTCAGTTCTAGTTCAGTTCAGTCTAGTTCAGTTCTAGTTCAGTTCTAGTTCAGTTCTAGTTCAGTTCTAGTTCAGTTCTAGTTCAGTTCTAATTCAGTTCTAGTTCAGTTCTAGTTCAGTTCTAGTTCAGTTCTAGTTCAGTTCTAGTTCAGTTCTAGTTCAGTTCTAGTTCAGTTCTAGTTCAGTTCTAGTTCAGTTCTAGTTCAGTTCTAGTTCAGTTCTAGTTCAGTTCTAGTTCAGTTCTAGTTCAGTTCTAGTTCAGTTCTAGTTCAGTTCTAGTTCAGTTCTAGTTCAGTTCTAGTTCAGTCCTAGTTCAGTTCTAGTTCAGTTCTAGTTCAGTTCTAGTTCAGTTCTAGTTCAGTTCTAGTTCTGTTCTAGTTCTGTTCTAGTTCTAGTTCTGTTCTAGTTCTAGTTCTGTTTTAATTCTGTTTAGTTCTGTTTTAGTTCTGTTTTAGTTCTGTTTTAGTTCTGTTTTAGTTCTGTTCTAGTTCTGTTCTAGTTCTGTTCTAGTTCTGTTCTAGTTCTAGTTTTGTTCTACTTCTGTTCTAGTTCTGTTCTAGTTCTGTTCTAGTTCTGTTCTAGTTCTGTTCTAGTTCTGTTCTAGTTCTGTTCTAGTTCTGTTCTAGTTCTGTTCTAGTTCTGTTCTAGTTCTGTTCTAGTTCTGTTCTAGTTCTGTTCTAGTTCTGTTCTAGTTCTGTTCTAGTTCTGTTCTAGTTCTAGTTCTGTTCTAGTTCTGTTCTATTTCTATTCTAGTTCTGTTCTAGTTCTGTTTTAGTTCTGTTCTAGTTTAGTTTTAGTTTAAAATGTCCATAAAAAATCCATAGAATTTATGAATTCAAAGCATTCTGCTCTTAAAACATAATAATGATCTTAAACATAATGTAAAAAGAATTTTTCAATTGATCTAAACTTTAAGTGAAACCTTAGCCAGCAGCTTTAAACAAAATCCATTAAATAGCTTTGTTATTAACACACACACATACACAAAAAAAAGAAAACCTACTTTTCCAAAGATCAAGAAAATGATGATGGGCATTAGAGATGAAATCAAAGCCTCATCATCAGAGAGCAGCAAAAAAAAAAAAAATATTGTCATAAATTACATGAGTATGAAAAAAAGGCTTTTTTTTAAAAGCAACATACCAATACTTAGAGGAGGGAACACACCTTAATTTGTTTCAAACATATTTTCTTACTTAAACTACTTTTTTTTGTTCATTGTAACTGATTTGATTTGGTATCGCTGAACATATAAGTTTTTTTTTTTTTTTATTGTAGTAAAAATGATGTCTAATTGCTGAATATTTTCCTTTAACTTGTTATTAACTGTTTTGTGTGTGTGTTGAGGGTATTTCAAACCAGATTTAATTTAATTCTTTTGTTTGTTGTGTATGGATGGATGATGGTTGGTTTGGTAGAGAGAAAAAAATGTATCAAATACTTATATATTTTAATGGCCTTTGGGTTATTGCTGTGTGGTGTTGTGTGGTTTTGTTAGAAATCAAAAGTTTTTAACTGTTGCTGCTGCTGTGGCTTCAACAATTATACATTTGATAATAATTTAATTTCAGTTGTTTTTTAGTTGATCAATCTTCACACTTTTTTTGTTTTGTGAGTTTCAGAGTGTAAAGTGGTGTGACAATCCACTTACTTTTTTTTAAAATTAACAATTGAAGCTCTTTAGATTTATAAAAAAATTGTATATAAATAGATTGAAGTGACATGGTCACATTGATTTGAAATAAACAAGACCTACAACCATAATCCATCAAAATTTCGTAATGTTTATTTAAAATTTAAAAACTTGAAATTTCAAAACCAATTAGAGTGTATATCCGTTTTAGCTTATTATCTTTTAAATTGTCAAAACTTACCTTGGTACAATTTTCACAGGGATATTTTCTTATTTCGTTGTGTTGCAAAGCTCTATGTTTCAATAGCAAAGGCCGATGACAGAATCTTTGAGAACACAATTCACAGAAAAATTCGTCTTTACGAAAATGATGAGCTCCCACCAAATGATCATCAAGTCTGCAAAAAAAAAAAAACAAGATAAAATAAATATAAATATAATTAGCTCAACATTAAAGCAACATGTGTCGAAATTCACATTTCATTTAGTTGTTAAATTGAAGTTCAATATTTACCGATTGAAATCTCTATGACATGTAAAGCTACCAACAACCCCCTCCCCCCCCTCTAACCAAACATTCCACCTTTTTATTTAGTTAGTGAAAAGCAAGGCGTTCTATATTTGCATTAGTTGGTGTAACTCCCACAATTACCATCTGATAACAGACCCATAAACCCATCCAAATCACTAAAACTAAGTGTGTCATGTCATTTTAGTTTTTCTCCATTTTTATTTTTTTAGAAAGGGGTTTTTTTCTATTTGCCCGTTTTAGCTTAAATTTTCTAATACAAATCACTGGATTTCATCAGTTCGTGTTTGTCGTTTGGCACATGTCCTTTTTTCCACTTAAGTGTAAAGGGGAAGGTAAGCTAAGCTATATAGTTTGTTATTTATTAAACAGGGGTCAAATAAGTTTGAACTTAAAGTTGTAGCTGTTATGTATCCAAATTGGCCATCAGATGATCTTCATTACAGTAATAGTTAACTCAAACTTTAGGTTCTGATAACTCTAAGAAGTAAGAAGTTATACTAGAGATTAAAGCTATAATTTAAAGTCGTCACCTTAAGCTATCAGATGATAAAGGAAAATTTAGAAAAGTAATTAAGTTCGCTCTGTTATAACGTTTCAAAAACAGATTTTTTCAAAAATTATTACACGATATCTGACAAACTTAATACAATGGTTAACTCAAACTTTGGGTTGTGATAACTCGAAGAAGTAAGAAGTTATAATAGAGATTAAAGCTCTATTTTAAAGTCTTCACCTTAAACTATCGGATGATAAAGAAACATTTTGAAAAAACGTTAAGTTCGCGCTGTTATAACGTCTTAAAAACTAGGGGTTTTCAAACATTATTAAACGATATCTGACAAACTTAATACAATGGAGAAATTCTAATGCCAGATTAGGGTTCAGCACAGTTTAGTCCTTAACAACAGAGGGTCTGTGTTATTAAATAAACTTCTCAAGATCTTTTCTGTAGACATTGTCAGCGATTTGTCAGCAGTCTTAAGAAAAGTTAGATCTTAAAAAGTCGAGAATTTGTTTCTCTGTTATTGGAAAAACAGAAATGTAAAACTATGTTATTGGATTAAATATATATGACTCCATTGTTAAACTTTTCATGACCTTTGCTGATATCTATATGACAATGTCAGCGGTTTGTCAGCAGTCTTTAAATGTACTTCATTTCAAAAAGTCGAACCATTTAAACTTTGTTATTGGAAAAATAAAAATATTGATCTTTGTTAATGAACTTCTCATGACATTTTCAGATATCTATGTGACAATGTCAGCGGTTTGTCAGCAGTCTTAAAAGGTGTTAGATTTAAAAAACGAATTTCTCTAATATAGGAAAATAATAACATTTCGCCCTTTTTCAATTGTTTAGTAAATGGTTCAGTAGTTGTTTCAATATTATAGAAATATAACCTTTTGACCTTTGAATCAATATGTGTCAAGGCTACAAAAAAGTACTTGCTATAGAAAGAGCACCTCGTCGTTAAAAAAGTAGGTATTTCAGTAAAAAATCCTCAAGTTATTACAACATTATCTGATGAATTTGTCTCCCTGACTTTATATATAAAAGTCAAAAGGTCAAATCATTATAAAACTGAAACCTCTTGATTAAATGGCAAAACAAAAACTGAATGTTTCCCTACAGCTTACATACTGTTGTTATTGCGTCTTATAGATTGGAATAGAAAAAATATGTTTAGTATAAAGGGGATCTGAACTTTTGACCTTTGACCCATAAAAAAGTTTCAGCCGTTTGCGTTTGAATATATATAGGAATTTAGTAATAAGTCCTTTAGACATTTCACAACATTATCTAATAAATGTGCATGCCTGTGACCTTTACTCTACTTTTTATAAATGTCAAAAGGTCAAATCATTATAAAACTGAAAAATCTTGATTAAATTATTAAAAATCTGAAAATTTATTTGCTGCTTACATACTGTTGTTAAATGTTCAAGTATTTTTAGTATAATAGAGATATGACCTTTTGACGTTTGACCCAATATGAGTCAATAAGCTGCAAAATAGACAGGGCAACAAAATCAAAAGCTTAAACTTAAATAATCTAGGATTTTTGGTAATTAATCCTTAAGAGTCCAATAGAGTCTAAGGAATTTGTCTGGATGACCTTTGCACTAATTTGCATAAATGTCAAAAGGTCAAATCACTATAAAACTTAAATTACTACTTGATTCTAATGGATAACAAACTAAACCTTTTCCATTAGAAAGTTGAAAAAAAAAAAATATCAAATGTAACATAACATACATGTTGTATGCTTAGCCTACTTCCCCTTTTTTTTAAGCACTTATCCTACGAGTGAAGTTGTTTATATGGTTGCCTGTCGAGTTGTTTTCATTTTGAAGTGACTTTTATGTTTTATGATGATGATGATTTTTGTGATTTGTCAATTGCGTGTTGTTGAAAAATCAAAATTGTCCATTAACTGTATTATTGAGTTTAACTATTAGCACTCGCCTGACAAATCATGACGATGACGACAACGACGACTACACACTAACATAGATTTATACTTTGTAGACAATCCAACAACTCTATGTAAATTTAAATATTCTAATGGAAATTATTTTCGAAACAAAAATAAGTCATCAAATATTTAGTTTTGCAAATGGCTAACCAACACTTTTAGAGTAAATATTTGCAAAAATTGTTTAAAAATAATTAACACTTTTGATATTTGTGGAAGAAAAATTAGCAGAGATTTAAAAGTTTTAGTTTCTTTAGAAAATTTGAAAAATTTTAAACTTTGACCTTAATCAAAAAAGTTTTTAAATTTTTATTTATCAATAAAAAATGTTTCTGAATAATATAGAAAAAGGAATATTGTGGTATAAATAAAATGAAAATTGTGAACTTTGACCTTAAATGTAAATTCTGTTTTAAATTTGTTGGTTGTGATAATTTATAAACAAATTTGATAACTTTTGTAAAATTCCTAAAATTTATTGAATAATTTGTAATATTTTTGTTTTGGTAAAATACAAATTTTTGCAAAATTTGAACTTTGACCCCGCGAAAAAAAAGTTTTTTTATTAAAGTTTTTATATATTTTTAGTTTCAATAAGTATTTTTTTTATTAAAATTCCTAAAATTTTTCAAATATTCATGATATTTCGTGGAAATTTTTATATATTTCAAAATTCGAACTTTGACCTCGAGGAAAAAAATTGCTAAAATTTAGATTTTTAGATAATTTTTTGACAAAAATTATTGAATTTTAAATTAAAAAATTAACATTTCTTAAGATTTTTAAATAATTTTTGATATTTAGTGGAAATTTTTATATTTTTTGAAAATTTGAACTTTGACCTCGAGATAAAAAATTGCTAAAATTTGGATTTTTATAAAATTTTTACATAATTTAGGTTTTAATAAATCTTTCTTTATCTAAATTCCTTAAGATTTTTTAATAATTTTTGATATTTAGAGGAAATTTTTATATTTTTCAAAATTTGAACTTTGACCTCGAGGCAAAATATTGCAAAAATTTGGATTTTTATAAAATTTTTACATAATTTAGGTTTTAATAAAACTTTCTTTATCTAAATTCCTTAAGATTTAAAAAAAATTTGTGATATTTAGTGGAAATTTTTATATTTTTTGAAAATTTGAACTTTGACCTTGAAACAAAAAATAGTTAAATTTTTTTTTTATAAAATTTTTTAAACATTTTAGATTTCAATAAATAATTTTTAATTAAAATCCCAAAATATTATTAGATTTTAATGATTTCTTTTAGTTTGTGGGTTTCTTGTGTATTTTCTTATTTAACCCTTTTATTTTCTTTTGTTTTTGGGTTTTCTTTTCTTGTGTTTTTTCGTAAACAATAAAACACTCAATCATTTATTTAATTTGTTTAAACGGAGGTGTGTTGATGAGTAAATGACAAATTAATAAAATTAAATCATTAAACACTCTAAACATAGTAATTATCAACTACTAAAGCTAGTTATAGGACGGGGGGAGGGGGTCTAAGGCGATTTGATTACTCCCTAAGGGATTTGTTGTAAGGAAAAGAAATTAAATCGATTGTTTTATGTTTTACCGGCCGCACGTATTCAGAAACGTCTAATAAACCCTAAATAATGGATACATAACTTTATAAATACGGGGCTAAGTGATTTTAAAAAGTTGTTCAAGAAAGTCGGTCTTTATAGTCCGTTATATTTGGAATTGGGTAGATTTTTATTAGCAAAATTTTTTTGCAATTGTATAGAGGAAGTTTAGGTCTCTTAAAGGGACTTAGGACTTTTAAACTTTGAATTTTTCTAAATTTTTTTCCGTACTTACCCTTCTAGTTCTATAAACACTTTATCGCAGACTTCACAGCGTATATCAAAACCGTTTTCATCATCACTTAGTTCACTTTTTATTTGATCCGATGATTTGTCTTTTTTATAATCCTCTTCACGATTTAGGTTCGAACCATAAAATGAGGCTGAAAGTAAAAAGGGTAACAAATTAACAAAAGATAATTTTAAAATATTTATGTTTAGAAATTAAATAAAATACTAAATTAAGCGAAATCCAACTAAGTTGCCAAATATTTTAACTCCATAAATGATAAAAATAAAAAAATTAAGAGTTATAGCCTAATTTGTCAAATAGTTTAACTTCTTAATACAACGAATAGTGTTTAAAATTGCAATTATTTATTTGGAAAACATATCTCTAATAATTTTCATGGACTTGCATTGAAAATGTTAAAAATATGGACTTAATCGTTTCTGGTTAGAAGTTTATTTAAAAAAAGTATTTAAAAAAATTATTATCTAGAGCTCATTGGTCACAATTTTGTTTTTTATATATTTTTAGAGATAACCTCTTTTGCACAAAATTTCGGTTTATTTTTGCAGATAACCTCTTTTGCTTATAAGATGATGATTGCAAATTAAAGAAAACTTTTTAAAATTGTTTAATTATTTTAAAGCAAATAGTTTAGTTTCATTATAAGTTATTAAACTTTGTTTATATTAATTTTAGAAGATAACTTCTTTTGCATATAAACAATTAGTAGTCATATATGATGGCCATGAAACTTTAATCTGGAGGTTTTTAAACAAGATTTCGTTTTATGTAGTTTAACTTTGTTTTTTTTTATATTTTTTCAGATAACCTCTTTTGCTTATAAAGTGATAGCTGTCAAATGATGGTAAATTAAAGAAAATTTTGCAAAAATTTTGTAATATTTTAAAGCAAATAGTTTAGATTCATTATAAGTTATTAAACTTTGTTTATATTATTTTTGAAAGATAACTTCTTTTGCAAATAAACAGTTAGCAGGCAAATAAGATGGAAGAGAAACTTTATTGAAAATAAAACTTTACAAAATTTATATTTATTTTAAAGCAAATAGTTAAGAGTTAGTTAAAGTTATATAACTTTGTTTCTAGACATTTTTGTAGATAACCTTTTTTGAATATAAACAGCTTTAAGCAGCAATAAAACACTTTAAAATATTATGTTATTAGAATGTAAATAATTGAGTATTAGTTTAATATTTTAAGTTTAAAATTTTTCAAAAACTGCAGTTAACCCATTTGGCAAATAAGGCTTAGCCCAGAAAAGGCTTAAAAAACACTTCACTTTTAATTAAAATTGTAAAATAATTATTTTTTTAAATGAAATAATTTTCAAAATTTTATTTAAAATTTCTTTTTGTTTATTACTTTTTTTGTTAAATTATTTAACTTTTTGTTATAAATTTTTTATAAAAAAAATACTTCTTTAATAAATTAAATACTTTAAGGCACTAATTTCTTTAAAAAAATATTTTCAAGAAGAACTTCAAAACGATGCAACCGAACTCTTCCGTTTCCGTTGAACAAGTGTTTGACCATTGAATCCTTTTGAGCGTCAAGTGTCCTTTATGTGAAGCTTGCCTCAAAATAATACAAGGACTTGTTTTATATACATATGTTAATAACTAGTAACACTCATTGTCTATGGTTTGTATTAAAAACATTTTTTTTCGTTATTCACTAAACACGTAAACATATTCATATAAATAAAACTGAATAGATAATTGGCCTTTGTATGTAGGAAAACAAAAACACCCTCAACTCTTAACTTTTTTCAATAATATTTACCCATTACACCCCTAAAAAATATGAACAAACACCTGAACAGTTAAAGTAGAATTTAATAAACCTCAAAGGACCTGTAGTTTAAAAAGAAGCATTATGTTTATGTATGTGTGTGGCAAGCATAATTTAGTATTAAGTGTTTGCATATAAGTCTTGTTTTTAAAGAAATCAAAAAATATTTTTTATAAAATATAAAGTCAAATGGTTTTCGGGTTTGTATTTTAGGGGATGTTAGACACTAGATGTCACTAAGATTTAACTGGCCACGCTGGAGTGATTTTTACCCTGTTTTTACTATTAACTTATTTTACTTGTGGTCTTAGAACTTGGCCCAGATGGCCATGAGTTGCTGCTGGTGGTTGTTTTAGCCACTTGACTTTTTTCACCCAACTGTTGGTAAAAGGGTATCAAGTCTAAGGTTAAATAAGGATTTCTTTTTTACCTTTTCTAATGAACTATTTTTCACCAACACTAATTATTTTATTTAAATTGCCAACCCAACAACAACAACTACAAAAAGAGGGTTCAAAAAGTCAAGAAAACGATGACATAAAATTGGGTGGTGATATTCAGCCATAGTAAGGCACCTGTTCGAAATTCCCACGCAATTTTTAAAAACTAGTGAATAAATTTTTGTAGAATTTTAAACAAAAAGTTAAAATTTTAAAAAACCGTTACTTTTTTACACAAAATTTTTAACATATTATTTCAAACAAATCCTTTACTTAACAACATTATTAAGCAATTTAAACAATTATGTAATTAAACAAGATGCAGTTTTCTTCCTTTAAATAACGTTACTAACATTTACATCAATTTAAACAATAATTTAATTAAACAAGCAGCATCTTTCTTCCTTTAAATACCGTTACTAACATTTACCTTAATCAGTGGAAGCAATAATTTAATTAAATCTATTAAAAACTTTTAGCAGCTTTCATTTTCACGCAAACATTAGTTAACAACATATTTTAATCAATGCAAACAATAAATTCATTGAAATGATTAAAAACATTTATCTGCTTTAAAAGGCTTTAGTTTAATCTACTCCTTATTAAACCCTGTCTACTACTATACAATAGTATTAATCATTTCTGGTTTTGCTTTAATTCATTCAAACAATAATTTAATTGAATTGTTTAACTACCATAAGCAGCAGCTTTTTTCTTTAAATAACATTATTTTACAAACTTTTTAATCAATTTAAACAACAATTACATTAAAACGATTAATAAAGCTTTAGTTTCAACTCTTTTTTATTAAACTTTGTAATTTTGCCCAATTTCAACTTTAAAACCTTTTACTTTACAAAATTTTTAATCAGTTCTAACAAAAGTTTTATTAAAACAATTAAAAACTTTTAAAAGCTTCATTATGCTTTACAAAGCTTTAGTTTCAACTCTTTCTTTATTAAACTCTGTAATTTTGCACAATTTCAACTTAAAAGCCTTTATTTTATAAAAGTTTTAATCAATTTAAACATTAATTTCATTAAAACAATTAAAAGCTTTTTTCTGCCTTAAAAAGCTTTAGTTTCAACTCTTTCTTTATTAAACTCTGTAATTTTGCCCGATTTCAACTTTAAAACAATTTATTTTACAAAAATTTTTAATCAATTCTAACAATAGTTTCATTAAAACGATTAAAAACTTTAAAAACCTTCCTTCTGCTCTAAAAAGATTTAGTTTCAACTATTTCTTTATTAAACTCTGTCATTTTGCCCGATTTCAACTTTAAAACCCTTTATTTTACAAACATTTTTAATCAATTCTAACAATAGTTTTATTAAAACGATTAAAAACTTTTAAAAGCTTTCTTCTGCTTTAAAAAACTTTAGTTTCAACTCTTTCTTTATTCAACTCTGTAATTTTTCACAATTTCAACTTTAAAACCCTTTATTTTACAAACATTTTTAATCAATTCTAACAATAGTTTCATTAAAACAATTAAAAACTTTTAAAAGCTTTCTTCTGCTCTAAAAAGCTTTAGTTTCAACTCTTTCTTTATTAAATCTTGACAATTTGGACAGTTTGACCTCATTAACACTCTACTTTAACCCTTTACTTTACAAAATTCTTAATCAATTCTAACAACAGTTTCATTAGAACTATTTAAAGCTTCCTTCCGCCCTAAAAAGCTTTAGTTTAAACTCTTTCTTCATTAAACTCTGTAACACAACTTGATCTGCTAATGCTCTACTTTAAGATCCTTTATTTTACAAAATTTTTAATCAATTCTAACAATAGTTACATCAAAACGATTAAAAACCTTTAAAAGCTTCCTTCAGCTTTAAAAAGCTTTACTTTCAACTCTTTCTTTATTAAACTATGTAATTTTGCACAACTTGAACTCCTAATACTTCACTTTAAAACCCTTCATTTTACAAAATTTGTAATCAATTCTAACAACAGTTACATCAACACGATTAAAAACTTTTAAAAGCTTCCTTCTGCTTTAAAAAATCTTTAGTTTAACTCTTTCTTTATTAAACTCTATAATTTTGCACAACTTGATCTCCTAATAATCTACTTTAAAACCCTTCATTTTACAAAATTTTTAATCAATTCTAACAATATTTTCGTTAAATTGATTAAAACCTTTTTAAAGCTTTCTTCTACTTTAGAAATCTTTAGTTTAACTCTTTCTTGGCAATTTTGACAACTTGGCCTACTAATAATCTACTTTAAATACCGTTACTGTATAAAAGTATTAATCATTTCTATCAATTATATAATTAAATCGATTAAATACTATTATCAACAGCTTTCAGTCTTAAATAACGTTACTTTACTACACTATTAATCACAACAAATAAAAATGTAATTAAAACTATTAAAAACTCTAAGCAGCTATACTCTCTGTTTCAAACATATTCAGTTTAACTCTTTTTTTCTCCAAACCCTGTCACTTTTGACAGCTTAACAAACTAATACTCTCTAAACTATTTAATGATTTTTCTTTCCTATAAATGAAAAATGACATAACTTCTGTTAATCAATTGATGAGACCAAACGCTCTAACTCTAAATAAAAAATTTCTATTTGCAAAATCCCAAAAACTAACATTCTTAGATTTTTCTCTATTTTCTATTAAAAGATAACAATTCAATTTGATATGATTTTTTTCGCCTAATGACATGTGCCACATATTGTTTTGTCATCAATTTGCTGCAAAAAGAAGTTAGGAACTCAGAACAGTAGTCACTTGGTTTAGTTGATTTGACTTTTTGCCTCGTTTTTTTTTTTCTACGGTGTTAAAACATGATTGATGATGATCAATTCTAAATATGTTCTTTTCATTCGAGTTTTGTGAAAATTGATGATGACTGACATTGGACTGGTTAATGATGTTT